CTTGACTTTCTAATGATTTCGTTGTGGTTCTCGTCAGGTATTTTCTTCGTGATGCTGTAGACACAGTCGGCCTCGAGATTCTCTTCGGAGCAGTGGTCTCCGGCATGAGAGTGGTTGCAATTACCGATGGTGGAGTTCTGCGATTGGCCGATCCTCTCAAAAAATTCCTTGTGATTAAACTCTGAAACAATCTTGTTTTAAAAATATTGGAAATGGTGATCATTAAAGTGAAATTTGTGTTAATTAGAAAGCGTGTTGTTTGAGTGTGAAGAGATAATTATTGAGCTAAACAAATTGTTAGAAGTGAGAGTGGTTTATAATTTTTGATATGCGTAAAATGTATTTGGTTAATTTTTATGTATATATCATGTAATTGGGGAAATAAAAGTGTAAGTTGGTGTGTGTTTTATTGGTTCTATATCTATAATTCTAGGTAAACATATATTTTTGATAGTTTGAGAATTCGAGATCTTTTTTTTTGTAAAATTTAATTGAGAATAACCTTAAATTTGTTAGAATCTCATCGTTATTTAAATAGTATAATGATTGAAAGCGTTATGTTTATTAAATTATAAATATCTAGTAGGTCTAGCTTTGATCTAAAAAACATTTCATATTAATTTTCGTTAAAAATACATAGGTACCTAATATATTTTCTATTATATTTATTAATTTATTTATTCACCATATGGATTATTGAAATATAAATGTTTGAAGAAGGTAAGCGTTATGTAACAATTTATTAATAATTTAGCATTAAAAATTTAGAATTAAAAAAAAATACTTGAATATTTATGTAAATCTTGAAAATCGTATGAATATAATTCACCATTTTTTTTTTAATTTCTAAAATAAATACGTTATATTTGTTTCCCAAAATACATATTTTTAAATTTGCAATTCGTTATTTAGATATTCTGAATTTGAGATTTTTGTAAATTTGGGATAATCCTTAATATAATGAGAAGCAGGTAGGCGACTAAAAATCAGTATTATTTTAAACCTAGCTCTCAGAAAAACTAAACAATATTTTGAAATGTGACGCTTTTCACCATTTTTCTCTGTTGGTGGTACGAATTGTAATGAAAACGTGTTTAATTTTGGAAAAAATTCATAAACAAATCAATGATTCCACGTGGTTTAGATATAAAAATTCAACATAATTTTTCGAGTATTTTTAAAAAACTTTTTCTCAAGACGTCTTTCAACCCCTAGGCAGACTTCGTGCACACTTTTAATGACATTCTATTGCCATTTTCTCTCACACACACAATATTAAAACTAATACCAGGAAGTACGTATATTTTTTCTCGAAATCTACGTTATAGTAACCTCTGTATGTATTGCAAATTTGAATAGGGGAACGTCAACCGTTATAACTATTTTTTTATATAGTTTTCTTCTAAATGTCCACAATTAAAAATTGGTACTAAACGTTTAACTGAAAAATCTATAAGAAAAAACAAATACAAATTTGTATAAATTGTAGCCTACAATTCATATTTTTTATATATAAGACGTGATCCACAAAAATGTTTCTAAAGTAGGCATTGGAAAAATTCTCGCAAGTCACATTTTTCGAATTCTCCTTTTTAAGTGTCAGTTTGCATTTATTTCAGAGCCATAAGTAAGTAGTTATCACGGACATGACTCGTATCTTTGTCTTTGTCAGATATGGCCTACTTCAGAAACATTTTTTGTGGCTTACTATTTTCTTAAAAAAATTATATTTTTAAAACCTAACTAAATAAGTATGAGATATAATTTTCATTAAATTATTTTCTTATTACGCATATATTTGGATTTGGATTTCTTTAACTCAAAGCAAAAATACAATTTTACGTTTATTTTATACCTACCTATATTAAACTTTCATCATGATCATAATTTATGATTATTTTTTGTCGATTTAAATTGCGCAAATGTTTATAGCGAGATTAGTAATTCATGTCTCTCAAGGATAGACCTACCTATATTAGAAAGTGACAGTGGAATTTTGCCGTTTACAGCAGTTGGTCCTCGGTTATTAAATTTGACAAAAAAACTATGTAGTTGCAATAATAATTGTTCCTTGCCACTTAAAATTTATTTTTTGTGAATTTTGGAGAATTTACCAATATTTTTAAGCTATAAATATAATATTCACCAAATTAACCCATAAATTCTTAGCCCATAGCCTCAAGTCATCAAAACAAAAAACTAATATCAAGAATACCTGTGATTCTAAATAATGATAATAATAAATTTTATCTACGCCTGTGAGATAAGAACTTCTCATCCCACTCATTTTGCGTGAGATAGCAAGTTTATTAACGCACGCGTTTTTCAATCAATTAAATAAAAAAGTCAAAACATCAAAATCTTTTTAAATTTAATAACAAATTATTCTCACGATCTAAAGTAACAAGTAACTGTATTTAAAGTTTGTTCTTCAATATCAGATGGCAAACATTCCGAATCACTCATTTTATTACTAGAAAATGCAAAAATACGTAAAAAATGAATTATTTTTGACTTATTGTTTATGACAATATTAGCGTTGCTAAGAAAACAAGACGTTTTTATTCAACCGCCACCCAACATTTCGATGTGTCGCTAATCGACATGTAGGCACTGGTGGAGAACAATAACACTAAATTAAGTTTTAGACAAAAATTATAATTAACGTTTATTTTTACATTTAGAGGCGTAGATAAAAATTTGTACAATATACGTGTGGTAATGCTTTATTAACGTACTTCTGCGATTGCCCATGCAAATTTCGCATGCGTACGTTTATAAAGCTCTTATCCCACTTAAATCGTAAATAACTATTATCTCACTGAAATAACAATGCTTCAAACTATTTTGCAATTGCATCTCTTTCTGTTCAATATTACTAAATGTTCGCCAAAAGAACATTAAAGTTACCTACGCTTATTAATAATTGTTCAACAGTATTAACCGGGTATTAATTTAAAAATATTTTAGAAAAATAAAAGGCGTTTTGTATTACCTTTCATTAAAAGCCATCTTCTGTTACTACCCGCACAAAATTGAAATTATTGGTGACTTTACAAACAATAATAAATTATATCTAGAGATGAAAATGTCTCATTTTAAATTTAGGTGAAGGATCTATTAGTGATTTGTTCCAGAAATGGCAATAGTTTAAACTCCCATACGAAAAAGTAGATAACAAAACTTTTAAAATCTTTTGAATTATATATCAAAGAATATGCTGAAGAACATATCTGCTAGAAGAGACTATGCTTATTTTATTTTTGTAAAAATATTATCAAGAAAAATTACTATTAAACATGCGCCACAATACTATTTTCTGAACTTTATACAGTTTATAAAAAAATATCAATAATTATTTACAATGAACAATGTCTGAATGAGGCTCATTTATTTTTCTATACAGGGTGATTCCTAAGTTAATTCTTCCTTTTTAACTGCCTATAGAAGTATTATAAACAACATTTTCAAATAACTTCTTTTACAAAACTGAAAAATAAGGTAAGATACATAATTATAAAATCCAAATCTGGGCCTATGCATCACAAACGTAGGATGATAAGTCTATTTATGTTCAACAGGTTTTCTTGTGAATTACGTAGTGTGCGTGTCAGTTTGAGGCCACCGAATTACCAGACCTAAGTCCTTGTGATTTTTTCTTGTGGAGTTTCATGAAAAGTCTAGTTTAAATATACTGGAACAATTAATTATAAAATTTGATCAAGCTACAGCAATAATTAGAGGAAAAATATTACGCGTAGTTACTGACACTTTGAACATTATTTAAATTAGACAGGACCGTATTGGACGCATTTTTGAGTTTTTTAACAAAAATTATTTGAAAATGTTTATTTTAAGAGCAAACCGGATCTCTCGCGAAAGCAAAAATGTTTTAAGGATTTTCTAATATAAAATTGTATTTATATACGTGCCTCTGGGAATACTTCGTGATATTATGTATCTTGACAATATTGAGAGCTTTAAATTTGTGCAACTATAAGGCAGCACTCTAAAGAGACGTTTGGGAAAAAAAGGTGGGAAATCATCCCATTTAAAAACTACTAGATATTTATTAAAACAAAAAGCAGCAAATTTTTATAGATTTAATATAGAATGGCGCGTAAATGCTTTTTTTCCTTTTCCTTTTCCTTTTCCTTTTAAACATTTCAAAATACTTTTTGAAGGTATACAAAATATTCAAGGTTTATCCTCTTTATGTTTTGTTATTATTGGTATTTCCTGAAAATTTCACAAAAATTGCATTAAAAATAAAGGCTCAAAATATATATCGTTAAAAAAGTAGAATTTTAAAAAATGTATTCCTTTATTAAAATTTTTCATGCTCTTGCAAGAAATGTTTGTTAAATCTGTCAGTAGCTAATATTCTCATAACTTTACTAGACTTTGCGTAATTTGAAGTTTACGCCTTTTCGTCAACGTTTATTGGGCTCATACATTTAACTGAAAGTTGTTATAACCTGCTGATATTATTTTTTATTTCTTACAATAAATTTTTTTTAGGTATGTTAGGTATTCCACAATTTCTTTAAGGAGTTGTCTACAATTGTATCTTACAGTTATGGCGCCCTTAATTAATAATAATTCACCCACTTACGAGTGAGTTCTTAAAGAGTTTGTGAGGGGAGTGACGGCTCTTATTATATTATTATTATAATATGGAACTTCGGTGCGACTTACAGATGATTGATGGTGCCATTTGATTTACAAATGAGGAAACCCCCGAAAATCTCACTTTTTTTAATATCTATTTGAATTTGATGTTTTGCACAATTGAAAAAAAAAGCAGAAATTATTGATGAAAGACTCGTCTGAAATAATGCTATTTTTTTTAATAATATTTTATACATAATTTGTCTATTTTGTATAAAAAATATTAAATATATCAGTATAGGTTAAATTATTCGGTAATTTCTAATGAAAATGTTGATTCAAGACTCAATCCTAGTGTTTATATCCGGAAAAAATATAACAGATGAGTCTATGATATTTATAAAGCTTATGAACGCAAATGATTCGATAGCAGGTCCAATGTCAGACTAAAATACCAGTAAAAAGCAACTTGTGAATTTGCTACTGCATGTTAAATAATTGTATCAACTTACCTGTCAAATACGAATAAATATTTAAGGTCTAAATTTAAGAAACCATCACATATATTTAATTTATTTTTTTTATTTACTGCTATTTTTGTTCCTAAATATATGTTTTTTATGGTCTAATTCCACAACTAAGGTGGCGTACCAATTGAAATAAAGTTTGGTAAAATTATATTGAAAAAATAAATTTTAAATAATTTATAAAGGATTTGATTACCATTATTAGTTTATACAAGTAAGTGGGAAAATAAAAATATTCATAGCAGTTATAACTAAAAATTAAAAATCGAGTGGATATATTCTAAAATCACCTGATTATTTTATTTGAAATATTATTAAAATTTGGACAATATAAAAATGGTACTGATTATTATTTTCACTTCTGATCGTTGTGTATATAAATCCGGAAGAGAGATTTGGGAAAAAGGTTTACAATACATTAAAGCCAGTAGCTTGAAAATTAATACCTAGATCAGTTTAAAATATAACAGATGTCTGCAGTGAATAATCAAATAGTTAACTGTATCTCTCTAGAATGGTTTTCTTTCCAACATAAACTATCAAATGCAAAGAAATCGAATGGACGTCATGTACTTTACTACAGGTCGACAGGAATACCGAAAGTTACATCGACATGCACCAATGTAAAACACCATGGAAACAATAAGATTCATGCCGCTTTGTCAAATTTCTTAGTATGATGTAGATCTCCTTGCGTAAATTATTGAAATAGTAAATTGAATACACATTTGATGATTTTATATTATATTTAACATTTAATATTACATTCAATTTAAGGAAATGTAAATACAGGTAGGCAGAACGTGACCGTGCTAGTTAACAGGGTCGCTTTACGGAAATACCTATTTAATTTATTTAAAAAATATATCACAATTTTGCAAAAATTAGATTTTTTCATCGAAATATGTCGGAATTACCATACATACGCATTGTTATAGAAAACTTGATAGCCTACAAAAATGTTTAAAACTAAATTTTTGTAGATTTAAAGCGAGCATTTGACTCGTTAAAGTTAAACCATTCATTATTATGGTCCAAATTGTTACGTCAAATATTTTGCGTGTGGTTCATCAATTATATTCAAATGCTTCTGTAAGAATTAAATGCAATTATGGACTAACTAAACCGTTTCACGTGACCACCGGAGTATCGCAGAGATAATGTTTAAGTCCACTTGTTTAGTTTATTTACTGCTGATATAGAATTTTTTTTTACTCAAATGGAGCTCAGGGTTTTAATATTGACAGTATAAACGACGTTCTACTACTTTTATATGCGGATAACCTTGTAATTCTTGCTCACTCGGATATTGAAACTCAAAATTTTGGAGGATTATACTAAATTAAATCAGCTGCAGGTAAACACAGATAAAACTAAAATAATGTCATTTTCACAAGTGGGATTTCAAAAGAAAAAATTAAAATTTACTTTTAATGGATCTGATGACAAATAAATATTCATACATATTCATAAATATTCATAAATATTCATAAATATTCATAAATATTCATAAATATTCATAAATATTCATAAATATTCATAAATATTCATAAATATTCATAAATATTCATAAATATTCATAAATATTCATAAATATTCATAAATATTCATAAATATTCATAAATATTCATAAATATTCATAAATATTCATAAATATTCATAAATATTCATAAATATTCATAAATATTCATAAATATTCATAAATATTCATAAATATTCATAAATATTCATAAATATTCATAAATATTCATAAATATTCATAAATATTCATAAATATTCATAAATATTCATAAATATTCATAAATATTCATAAATATTCATAAATATTCATAAATATTCATAAATATTCATAAATATTCATAAATATTCATAAATATTCATAAATATTCATAAATATTCATAAATATTCATAAATATTCATAAATATTCATAAATATTCATAAATATTCATAAATATTCATAAATATTCATAAATATTCATAAATATTCATAAATATTCATAAATATTCATAAATATTCATAAATTTTCATAAATATTCATAAATATTCATAAATATTCATAAATATTCATAAATATTCATAAATATTCATAAATATTCATAAATTTCATAAATATTCATAAATATTCATAAATATTCATAAATATTCATAAATATTCATAAATATTCATAAATATTCATAAATATTCATAAATATTCATAAATATTCATAAATATTCATAAATATTCATAAATATTCATAAATATTCATAAATATTCATAAATATTCATAAATATTAATAAATATTCATAAATATTCATAAATATTCATAAATATTCATAAATATTCATAAATATTCATAAATATTCATAAATATTCATAAATATTCATAAATATTCATAAATATTCATAAATATTCATAAATATTCATAAATATTCATAAATATTCATAAATATTCATAAATATTCATAAATATTCATAAATATTCATAAATATTCATAAATATTCATAAATATTCATAAATATTCATAAATATTCATAAATATTCATAAATATTCATAAATATTCATAAATATTCATAAATATTCATAAATATTCATAAATATTCATCAATATTCATAAATATTCATAAATATTCATAAATATTCATAAATATTCATAAATATTCAAATATATTCATAAATATTCATACATGAAAGGCTTCAAATATGTTTTTTCAAGAGAATACTGCTAGTACCAATAAATACTCTGGATTATGTACTAAAGCTTGAAACGGGAAGAGTAAAGTAGGTATTCGTATAACATTTTAAAAATGTCGTTAAATTGATTCTGAAAAATTCTAGCTATGTACGACAACAGGTTTCCGAAACTTTGCCTAAAGGAGCATTTACGCATGCTTGACCGTTGTGATATAAAATTTAATTGGGCTACTTAGTTTAAAATGTTTTTTACATTTTCAAACTCTATTGATTTATGGAATGATTTAAATCAAATTAATTTAAACAAAAAACAATATTAGACCGATATTATCATAATCTTTTTGAATCAGATGTATTGAATATTTGTTCTTTTTTGTCGCCTTTATAAGGTTTTTGGAACTTCTAGAGATCCTAAACCATATATTTACATTTAAAAATGCCCATACAGATCACTCGCACTATTGCCCGAGTAAGAATGTGCAACAAATTTGTACATCAATTTAATATTAATGGGACGTCGTATGTTATTGACCCTTGTGAGATATGTTCTGTCTGTAATATGTATGAAAATTAGACATTATATCACATTCTTTATGATTGTCCAATTTACACAATTATGAGACCAAAACATAGGTGTTTTAATAATTTTGAAACCATTCTAAATGTGTTAGAAAATCTAACAATAAAAGAGGCAAAAATAATGTCTGCACACATTTGGAATATTGTAAAACTAAGATCTTTTTAACCGACTTCAAAAAAGGAGGAGGTTCTCAATTCGTCGTAATATATAGGTATATTTTTTATGTATGTTCTGCGATAATTCTTTAACACGGTGTCAGATTTCAATGATTCTTTTTTGTTAGAAAGAGGATACTTTAGGGGTCCCATATAAATTTGGTCAAAATCTAATGAGAAAATCCTCAAACTCTTCAATTTTTATGTATGTTTATCGATAATTCTTTACTACTTTGTCCGATTTCTATGATTTTTTTTGTCAGTAAAGGGTTACCTCAACGGTGGTCCCATATGTGGTTGTTATTCTCGTGTTGAACCATATCGAAGTTGAAATGTTAGGTACTATCTGGTTTAAATTTTCAGTGGGAAATTCTGGTTGAAGATTATCAGGTAAGTATGACTCAAAAGGGATCGTAGCATTATTAAATAAAATATACTATTACATTATAATATAAAGCATAAATTATAAACCAATAATTATATCAAATAGTTTTTGCAGTTTCTTTAATGCAGACGAGTATGAGGAACTGAAGAATAAGCGGTATTAAATTATTCCATTTGTTCTATCTGTCAACGCAGCAACTCGTTCTTCTACTGAATGAAATTCGATGAGATTTATTACCACCATCTGTTTCCTATTGCGTAAATTTCAAAACATAATGCAATTTCACTAGCTTGTGCACTTAGAATGCGATTTTTTTACGGCACTTACATTTGCAATGTCGAATATAATACATTAAAATCCAAGAACCGGAACAAACTGAGCTCCGTTCTTTTATTCACTGTGTCTAGCAACTTGGCGGCTTGAGCTATATCTGTCGAACATGTACGTTAAATTGTGATTAAAAACTGGTGCTGATTAGTGAGAAAGTAATATGTGATACTACCGCACCTCGCGCAATAGTGTTAAAGGAAACTGGTCAAGTGTTATAAGGTTTGTTCGGGTTTCTTTAAAACTCGATGCAAACCGTCCGAGAACCAATGGAATAGGACCCAAACAGACCTATTGTCAACTATTTGATTATTTGATTATTCCAGCGTACATCTGGTCAAGTGTTAATCGGAATACTGGCTGTAATGCATTATAATACATTCTGAAATTTCTCTTACGAATCGTATGTCAAATAACAATCGTTAGTTGAATGTTATTTGAAATAAGGATATGATTAAAAATAAACAATAGAGAAAAACTAGATTGTGCTAATATATTACACGGTGCTTATTATTTACATTCGATTATCACACATACAGCAATTTGTATAACAACAACAAGAACATTTTGTATGTACATACATAACAATGACACTAATAGTAACATAAATTATATCTAAAATTATTTATTTTTAAATTAAAACTTGTTAATTATGCTGTCTATTTATCCTAATCAAAGGCAGAGGGGGTGGCATTTTTTTAGCTGATTCTACTTTAATTGGAACAATTTTGATAGTATTGAACGGTGATTTTGGTGATACTTCTACTACTCTGGCTCTTAATATAAAGTCTTCATCATCTTGCTTCAGCAACTTTATTGGAATAACTTTAGTGTCTATTGCATCTGCATTTAATCGTACATCTTCATCAGGGTGTAATATTCTTACATTAACAAATTTGGAGTTTTCAGTTTCTAATAATTCTTCATTGATTGAATTTTTACTGGTAAAAAGCGTTGGTTTTTCTGTCTGGAATAATCCCTCTAAAGCTATTGTTGAAGATTCTGTTAAATATATTGGTCGTGGTGTAATAACGTTTATGTGAGATATACCATCAATAATTTCTGCTTTACCCACATTTCTATATTTGCTGTCATCCAATTTTCCTGAACTAACTAGATCAAAACGTCTTTCTTCGCGGTTCAAAGAAATTGGATCGTTAATTTGTACATCAAAATTAGTTAAATTTACTTTATTATCTGGTGCCGGAACTTCTTGTATTTTTGCAATTTGTATTATCATATCTACAGAAGATTTTATAGGAGATTCAGTAGATTGGAAATCAGTAATATAAACTGGGGAACGAGTCTCATTACTATTAACTAGTTGTCCATCTTCGTCTACGACTTTGATATTTGTAACTCTGGTAATAGATCCTATTTTATCATAAAATGGAGAAGATTCTTTATCAATTCCGTGTTCAACGTGGTGATTTTTAATAACATCTTCTTTAGTTTTGAAGTTAATAATACGGTTTACTTCGATGATCCTTTCAATTTTGCTAGATGTTGTTTGATTTAATTTGTCCGAACCCTCAGTTGTATTGTCACCTTTTTGGGCAAAAATGTGAACTAACGTTGTTGGATGTTCTGTAGATTCTGATGTTGAAGGTTCAGTGGTAAAATCTGTACTATCGTCGGTATAGTATGTAGTAGATTCTTCTAGAGCAACTGTCGAGGGAGATGTAGAAGGACTAAGAAGATTTGGGTTTACTTTTCTACTATTAAATAACGATTTGTTTCTATTTTTAACAGCGTCAGTATTAATATTTTTTAGGTCATCGTTTATAGTGATTTCTGTGGTAGTTTTTGTGAAACTTGGTAATTTGCTTGTGGATTTTTCAAAGTACGGGATATTAACGGTTTTTGTTGTTCTTGTATTTTTATTGATTAAATATCTACTTTTCGGTTTTTCACTGGTTTCTTCGTTATTATTAAGATCTTCATCGATAAAGTCATCCGTTTCTTTTTCTTCTTCTCGATTTACCTGTGGTTTTGGTTTTTTGTACTTGTATAAAAATTTATTTAGCGGTAAAGTAGTACTACTTATAGCTTTATCCTGAGTTTCTTCAGTCCTAGGTTTTTGGGTACTAGTACGGAATCCCGATTTATATCTATTAAATCTATTAATATTATTACTTCTAGTACTGGTTTCACTTACGACAGGAACACTTTCAGCAGTAGAACTAGCACTGGTATCATCAGAAGTAGAAGACTGAAAACGGGTTCTGTAATTTAATTTTGGTTTAAATGCATTTACACTAGGTTCAGGAGTCTGAGAATTGGTAAGATTTAGCTTAGAAGGATTATATTTAGGTCTTGAGTTGACTGATTTTAGATTAATGCGATATGAATTGTTAACTGATTCTTCATTGGCAGCAATAGGCACTTCGCCAATCGTAGTTTTAGGTAATTCTGTAGTTGTATCAGTTGAGTTCACGTTTTGTTCAGTAGTTTGGTCTGTTATTATTGTAGAAAGTTCATCGTCTTCAGGTTTTAGTTTTGTTGTTGTTTCAAAATTTAAATATGTTGTTGGATTTTCCGTGTAATGTGTATTTATATCAAAGTTTATATCATTATCGTTACTGATGAATACATGTTCAGTTGAGGGATATTCTGTGTAAGTAGTTTCTGATGATAGATTTTCGGTAGTAGTCATATAATCTGTGCTCTTCTGATCTACTTGGTAATAAGTTGTTCCATCATTTTCAGTTGTTGTGTCATAAATATCGGTTTGATCTGATTCAGATAACGTTGTAATAATATATTCGGGTATTTCACTTACTATTTCTGTAGGTTTACTTAAATTATTATCTTTCGTAGGGCGCCTCCTTGATATGTAAGTATATCTCGGACTAAACTTTTCTATTTCAACAGAAGGTTCACTAGAAAATTCTCTATCTGATGGTGTTGGTTTAAAGGTTGGTCTATAATTTCTGCTGGGTCCTCTAAGTAAAATTGTCTTATTTCGTGGTATATTTTTAGGAGTAGTAATGTCTATTTCCGGTGTAGTAGAAGTAGAAGAAGAAGTTCTTTTACTACCAAATCTAGGACGGAATACTCTTTTAGGCAGTTTTGGTGTTTCTTCTTTATCATTTAAATTATTGATGTCTTTGAGATCATCGGACCCTGGTAAACGTTCATCGTTACGTTCATCGTTGTGTTCATTCAAAATGGAATAATTTGTATCATTTAAATTAATTTGACTAGATGATACACTGGATGTAATGTTTGCACTAAATTTAGAAATGGGACGAAGTTTTCGAATGATTTTTCTTTTGCGTCCAAAAATTTGATCAGAATCTACTTCTTTGTCAACAATCTTTGAAGGTTCTGTAGGTACAATTTTTCGGATAATTTTTCTAGTACGGTGAAATATACTGGGCTCTGTAGAACTGATGATAGTTGGTTCGGTTGAACTAGTTGTTTCTTTTTCTGCAAGTAGTCGGCTTCCTACGTTTTTATCATATATACTGGATTTCCCATAAATTTCAGATTTAAATAATTTTTGTCTTAATTTAGAATCTGCTTTAAAGCTGTTAATATCACTATTTTCTCTAATATTAGATTCAGATAATTTAATGTTTTCATCTTCTTCAGTGGTAGTATCTTCAAAAGAGTCATCATCTACTTCGTTCGTTTTTGAAGGTGCATCCAAAACAGATTTGGAACTATTTATTTGAATCTTTTTCTCTTCTGGCTCTTCAGTTAAAGCAGTCGCTACAGTAGTGGTTCTAAATCTGCGAATAATCTTTCTATTTCGAGGTGAAAATCGTATATTAGATTCTGTTGTTTGACTGGTTTTATATTCTGGTACTATTCTTGTATTCCCTGACGATGCTTCATCAATATGAATTCGTCTCCTTTTTAGGGAGTTTGGAGTACTTTCTATGTCTAGTATTTTTTCAGTTGTGGTGGATTGTTTTAATGGTCGCCTTCTTCTTATATATGTACGTGGATTTAAACCTTTTATGTTATCAAAATCTACAGCCGTTAGTGACGATAAATCAGCTATTTCTGAGGGTCTGTAAGTTCTGTTTTCTTCCACATATTTTTCTGTAACAAGGATACGTCTTTTTGATGGAATCAGTTGCTTCTCGTTTTCGTCTGTATTTATATTTCTATTAGGATGAAATCTTGAGTTACCTCTAGATCTAAAGTTTACATTTGATTTCTCGGTTTGGTTTTTATTGTGTTCTAAGTCAGACTTGGATGTTAAGTCGTAACTTGATTCACTCACCTTTGTGATTTGAGTCGTTCTAGGTCTTGAAGTCGTGGCTTCTGTGGATTTCGAAAAGGGCCTTGGTTCAAATAGCTGTGGTCTTTTCCTCAGAAAAGAGTTTATTAAATTTGGTTTTGCGGATACGTTCGACGATTCGCTACTTTTCGATTCGTTAAGTTCAGATTTAACGTGGTTAATGTCATCTGTTGTAGTTACGTATGTTCCGGTTGTTGTTATTACATTAGGTAAATATTCATTTCTATTTTCTTCTGTCGTTGAGTTTCCTGTATCATCTTTAGGCGTGGATCTATTAAAATAAATATAATTAGACACCAAATAAATATTTTTAAAAGAAATAATAATTACCGAGATGAGTTATCTGTTGTTGAAGATATCGTAGTTTCTTCAGTTCTGGATCTAGTACTGTAATATTAAAAAAATAATTAAAAAAATACATTTTACGAATATTAAGAAAATTTTAAACATTTTTAGTTGAGCGATAATAAAAGTTTGAATATATAATAGAAAATAATTTTAGTTTTATCAAGAAGTTAAAAAAACTCACCTGGGCGATGGAGTATTATCTGATTCTGGTTTGCTAGTTGTCGTCGTACCACGTCTAAGAATTTTGTATCTATAATAAAAGAAAATGGATATTTAAATTTATTAATAAATAATTAATTAGCTGTTAATAGTAGTTTGTGCAACAAGAGTGGATCTGATGACCATATCGTAAGAAGACGATATTTAAGAGCAATATGAACAATCCACTCGAGTTGTACAATATATTTTTATACGACCCACTAAAATTACAAAATATTAAAAATTAATTTAGACATTTTATTCAGATAAAATAACTATTTTAAAAGTAATTAGCATACAAATTTGAATTTATGATTTTGATTAATTGGTAAAATTTGATCCCGAACCTTTCGAATGGGAATTCAATGCTAAAAAGGTTACGCTAACATGTTATATTTTTATGGGTTAATATTTATAATTGTATTGGTTTTACATAGATACTTTTATTACAATTTACTAAAATTTACGGTTTTTTTTTTGCAAATATAAACAAATATAAAGGAAAACTTCCAACCCTTAATATCTTCCTTCCAGTATCGGAAAGATATGCCAATTTTAATAAATATTTTTAGCCATCGTGGTTCAATCCCCTAGAAGGGGTAGATGTTACCCTTAGAATCCTAAATGAGAAGAGGGCACATCATTTCAATGGTATTTTTTAAATTAATTTATTTAACGTCGGCTTATTTCTAACTACGAGGTTTAAACAATGACGCTGGTGAGCAAGCTTCCCCTAATCACAAAAAATTTAGCCGAATCCACTGGTATTCTAACTAGAGGTAGGGATTTTTAACGAGCCCAACATCCATGGACTCGGGACCGATGACTTTATATTTCCTAAAAGATGGCACATCACACGCTTTACCTAGTACTCGTTGATATAACGCCTACCCGGCTTGACTGCAGATATGAACCTGTTAAGCCGGACCGCTGCCCCATTTTAAAGGTAATTTTATGAATAATTCAGCAATATGACTATTCATTAAGTTACTTTTGATTTTAGCACCCTCTATATCAGAATAAACCACTTTTTGTATTGCAACCCAGATAGGATACCACATCTTAAAGACGTCTAGTTCATGTTCAAACGTCCTGGTACGTAAAACGAACGGTTTTAAGACGTCCTGCTCAGGACATGTTTAAAACGTCTTTGTTGGGAGGTTTTTAGTACGTTTTAAATATGTCGGTAATGTGGACGTTCAACTCTTTTTGCTATATTTGAATATGGCGCCACGACACCGTTCTTGGCGCTGCCTGCAGCGCATGTATGATTGTCATTCGGCATTACGTGTGTATTTTTTCCACCGGTTTGTTGGAATCGTTGTTTCACCGATGCGACCTTGAACGCCTTGTGTTGGATTCGATTTATTTATGGTTGACCGTTGATATAAATAACAGTTGACATTTTGAAATAAAATTTGTGTTTATAATTTAATTTCAATGTACCTAGATACTTTAATTTGGACGAATATATTTTTAAAAGCTCATATTTTTCGGTTTTTTTCCACAAATAACAATTAAATAATTAATTTTCTTAATTCTTATTAATTCCCGCAATCCATCTGTCAGTTGTTACATCTAATCGTAAAAACCATACATTGAAACTGATGGACTGGTGTTGCATCGATTGTATCAACGTTGGACAAGAAGCCAGCGCTGTTACTTCATCATTGATAGGTTGATGAAAAAAAAGACAGGTAGGTACCGCACCGATGCCAACGTTGCTGCAACAGTTAGATAAAATGACACACGTATTGTCATTGACTGATTGCATAGTCTTGCGCGCGCGTATCGCGTCGTGTTCTTTCGTCTGGCTGCCTTCTTCTTGGGACAGCCATTGTATAATATTTTTAGAGTCATTACCTTTTCATGGTTGTGTTTTTATATTATTTATTTGACATTATTGGAACTGTGGTATACCGAAACTGGTAAACTTTATCATTAAAAACGGTAAGTTTTAATTTATTTGCCTATTACTATTATAACCTCACTGTAATAATGTCTTATTTTTTAAAAAAATACCTTAAAACAATAATTCAACAAAATTATATGCTGTGAGGACATTAGTTACATTCGCTTTGACTAAAATTAATACCATAAAAGAAGTTTTTAAAGCAACCAAACTGGAAAAAAGTAGGATTTCCGGGAATAGTTTCTCATAGCAACAAGTACTTGAAGTCATTTTCTAATTATTTTATCCAACACTGTAAAATAATATTTACTCTATGTATCAGTTTTAATAGTTTAATAATGTATAATAAACAGTATTAAATATAGTAGACAAGTATTCATTTATTTTTTTGAACCAATTTTCATCAAGTAAATAGACGGCTTAAACACGCCCAATACGTCTTAAAGACGTATAAAATTGGATGTTCTAAAGACGCCTTGTTTTGTTGTAACAATGTACGTCCTATAGATGCCTTTAAAACATCTTTTAGATATTAGCGTACATCTTCAAAACGTCATGAACTTCGTGAACAAACATCTTTAAGATGTCTTTAAAACGTGTCTATGCTATTTGGGAAAGTGTAACACTTCATTTGAAAGTAAATTTTATTAATAATTTAATTCACAATATAACAAAATATAATTTAATGAAATATGAACTTAAATAATTGAAAAATCATACAACTTCTAATGTTAAGAAATAAACACTTTAATCGCAATCAATTAAATTAACAAATTTATAATCTTATTATAGTGTTAATAAAATTAGCTTACAAATAATAATAATAATAATGTAAGTCAAATGGCACCATCAATCATCTTTAAGTCGCCCCGGAGCGCCACGGCAAATAATAATAGCTGTCCCTTTCCCCGAACAAGCTCAGCTTTTGGGGTTAAAATTAACTCGTAAGGGGGTGAATTAGGAAGAGTATTATCAGTAGTAATACTATAAGTACTTCAAAATAATCAGGTTATACATCGATAACTTGTTGCATAATTATAAAGAGTGTCAGTTTGACAGTTTAAATAATTCTGTCAAACTGACACGATTTGTAATTATGCAGGAAGTTTGAGATGTATAACCGTATTTATTTTGAAGTACGTATTGTATTTGATACGATTATTTTTTGAGTAAATTAAGTAAATATCAACAATTTATTAATTCGACTCATTTTAAAATAATTATTGATAAACGTCAAAATTTGACGGTCCTGTTAGTTAGTGTATTGTTGTCGATGTGGTTACTACGTAAATGAAATTATTGTAAATATTTTTGATTGGTGGAGCTACTCTATGTATAATCAGGTATTATCGAAATTATACGAGGTAACTTAACTAAATTGAACGTTCTAATTGGTTAAAAGTTATACGAAAAAAATAATCATTATTATTATTATTATTATTATGAAATGAGAAAAAGAGTAAAAAGTCATGAATTACTGTCTCTACTGTCTCTACTGTGAACCTATTTAATAAAGTATTATTAAAATAGTTATTAGACGAAACAAATTTTGAGTTTTATCATTTAGCGGAATAAAAAATAGACGTAATAGTTCCTACATATTGGGTTGTTTGGTGCAAACTTGACTCAAGGGAACTTATCAGTGTAAGTCAGAGCTGATTGGATATGATGATGCACGTGACTGAAAATGAACCATTTCAATTGGTTTTCTATTGATGCCATAAACTTTCAAATGAACACCATGTGTAACTTTGTTTCATTCTACGTAAAGTTTTGTGATGTAGACGTTATCATAATTTTACATATTAAAAATTAATTTTCTCAGTCATGACTGAACCAAATTTAAAAAACTTTATGTGCTGAAAAGAGAATTAAAATTCTTTTCAAACAAAGTGACACACGGCCCTTTTTCTTATTTAAAAATTTCGAAGTGGTGCTCATAATTCAGAGGCAGTGCAAGAGGGGAAGGGTAATAATTTCATATTAAAAATTGTCAAATTAAGAATATAAATCGACTTGTTTTAGTTTTTTTTTTCAAAAATACATAATAACGCTAAAGCTGAATTTAATCCATACATATGTGCCGCACTGTATACATACATGTGGGTGTAAAAAAATATTATTTATTGATCAGACTAATTAACTATACACAGAGAGAACAAGTTTCGAGCACTTACTTTGACGTTGTATGAGTATCATCTTCTTTAGCTGAATTTTCAGTAGACCCTCTTCTAAATTCAGTATATTTTGATGTCGAGGATTCTTCCGTGGTTGTAGGTCTTTGCCGACGAATGTTTACGTATTGAGGACTATAAGTTCGTTTTGTCGTAAGAACGTAATCTCCATCTGTTTCTTCGTCTTCATCATCGTTAGTATTATCATCATCATCTTCTTCTTCATCGTCTGTTTCTCCCAATATTTTATTTCTAAAAAAATAAGACGTACCTTTTATACAGGGTGTTTCACAATGCAGAACCGTAAACTGAGGGACTTAAAGATTTTAACTAATTATTAAGGAAAGCTAAACATAATTTTCCTGTAAACGTCCCAGTTTTCATTCTATAGTCTACAAGCGAGTTTCATAAATATATATTTTTCTAAATATCTTCCCTTACGATAAAGACATTAACTTAAAAATATGTATATCGTCATTATTAGTTAACACACATTAATTCGATAAATTATTGTAACCCATTGACGTAGAATCAAGGATTAAGGAAACAAGTTTATTCCAAACTTTTTGAATACCCTATATTTCATAAAAGTTAAGATTAATAATTATTTTTCGCAATTTGTCACAAAAAAGGAACTCTTGGTTGTTCTCTGTAGAACATTCCATTTCCAAGATGTTTTAAAAAATAGTTTTAGTCCTACTCAAACATGAAATCATTGTATAATTTTATCAAGGGCCAATTTCATAATGAATATTAGAAGATTCATTAACTAATGGGACCAAGATCTTAAGGACTTAATAGTCTCATTGGTTAATGTACCTTTTAATACTGAATATAAAATCGGCCATTAATAAAAATTTGCATTTTTGGAATTTCATAATATACATAGGTTTTATGTTTGAGTAAAATTAAATCCATAAGATCTCAATCCCATTAGTTAATGAATCTTCTAATATTCATTATGAAATTGGCTCTTGATAAAATTGTACAATGAATTCATGTTTGAGTGGGACTAAATCTATTTTTTTAAAAATCTCTGAAATGGAATGTTCTACAGGGATCAACCAAGAGTCCCTTTTTTGTGACAAATTCAGTGAAAAATAATTATTAATATTAACTATTATAAAATATAGGGTGCTCAAAAAGTTTGGATTAAAATTGTTTTCTTAACCCTTGATTCTACACCAATGGATTATCGTAATTTATCGAAATAGAGTGTGTTAACTAATAATGATAATTAAATAACATATACATATTTTTAAGTTAAAGCCTTTACCGCAAGGGAAGTTATTTAGAAAATTATTTATTTATGAAATTCACTTTATTACCCTGTAGAATGAAAGCTGGGAAGTTTAGAGGAAAATTATATTCGGCTTTTCTTAATAATTAGTTAAGATGTACAAGTTTTAGGTTTGATGTACTGCAGTGAAAAATAAAAAATTACCTATTACTTTCCGGTTCGCTGGTAGTTGTACCAACTCTTGCCCTTCTGATATTAGTATAAGAAGGATATTTTTCAGTAGCTTTTTTAATTGGTTGATTTTCTGTATTTTGTTCTAGAACTGGATCTCTATCTTCTTCGAGTTTCTTTGCAGTGGATGGCCTACAGTTTAATTTGTAAAATAAAATACATATATGTTAATAATGATCAAAATATTTTACCTAAATCTGGATATTGATGTATACTGTAATTTTCCTCTTTCTGGTTTAGATTCTGTCTTTTCATCTACTTCAGTTTTTTCACTCTGTGGACCTCTACTATTTCTAAATGACGAATTTCTATAAAATTATTTAATATTAATTAAATATATATGTTTATGATGACAATGTAGTAATTACCTCGCGTTCGTTGTGGTACCTTTGATAGCTTTACTAAGAACTCGTTCATAAAGACTTTTCGAAAATATTGGTGATTTCGTTGTGGCATGTTCAGAATTCAACGATGAGTTTCCTTTTATTTTAAACTGTTTTTCTAATTCTTCAATACCTCCTAAACATATTGATTTTATAGTAAAACGCATATTTAATTTCAAAAATGTCTTACCGGCTTTCTTTATAAGTTCAATTAATTCTTTAATAACCCTAGGATCTTCTTCAGAATCTTTTTTATTGTCTTCTTCATCGTCATATTCTTCTTCATCGTCGTATTCTTCATCCTAAAAAAGTGATTGATTTAAAGGAATTCTTGATTTGTTGGCTATTCATAAAATAAGTGATAAGATTTAGGGCTGGGCGTTTATCAAAATAAATAATCTATTATCGATTATTTAAAATAATCAATTATTTTAAATTAATCAATCGAAAATAATAGATTAATCGAAAATAATTCGATTAATGGAAAATAATCGAATAAAAGATTAATCGAAAATAATCGATAATTTTGTCCATCCCTAGTAAGATTATAATCGAAAATGTTTTGAGCAAGAGTTGTATTTTCCGAAGCTATTGGGACTGTTATGAGTGAAGTTATGCAATACAAGAAAGTAACATTGGTTGCATAGATGTTAATAATATTTTACCGAAACACAATTTTATAAAAAATCTAGTCAAAATTAGAAAAAATATTGTATGTAACACGTTATGAAATGCCGTTTTGTGTAACTTGTTCATGTTGTGGGACCTCGCTCAGCTCATCCCGAAAATATTCACTTGTTACATAAAATAAGTCATTCGCAACTGGTTGCATAAATAGTTATTAATTGCTCTAGAAATGTTTGTATTACTCTTAACTAAGAGAATTGCCCTTGCAAGTATTTTTATCCAGTAGTTCTACCCCCATTCGCCATAAATTAGACGTTAAAGTTTGACATTTATTTCTAGAAAACCCTGGGTGAATGGATTGAATGTGGCAAAACAACTGAGTAAAAAATGCTTGCAAGGGAAATTCTTTCAGTTAAGAGTCATACAAACATTTTGAGGGCAAATAAACCACTTTTCAACTTTTAGTTTCCATTTTACACCTATCTCAAAGTTACAATTTTTGTTTTGCATAGGTATCACCCTTTTCGCCAATATAAAAAATGCTTACAATATATTCTTATATTCAGAAAAAAATGCGTTTAAGCTATATTCCGAATTTCGTTGAAAAATGTAAATATACGGTAACTTGGCCGAAATCTCTACACCGGAAGTAACAAAACCGAATGACAGAAAATGCTTGCAAATGGATTTGTTTATTTGTTATTGAAGCCTAGAAGAATATATTTATTTGCCAGCAAAAAACAAATAATCTATCGATAAGCAACTTTGGTTTGAATTTCACAGGTCACATGACCGCTGTCACCACCGGGACATAGTAAATGCTGTTCACTCCTTTACCTGAACCCAACTCCAAATAGGAAACAGAAACACGACGTGCCACTTTTTGCACTCAGATGTGGGACTAAAGAGAAATTAAAGAGAAGAAGAAAAGGGATAATTTGTCACAATGACAGGAATGAAAGCTAATTTACGAGTATAATGTTATTGTTTTTAATATTTTATACTCATAAAAACTTTTAAAACAGAAATGTCACACTCTAAAAAGTGTAAAAACACTCCAATAAGAGAAATTTTCAATGATAAACTACCAGCTGATCTCTTCGGAAGTTATACGACCACAAATCAAAATGATTACAAGAAATATTGCGAAGCTGTTAGAACAAGTTGCAAATTTGAACAAAAAAGAATGGAAGATCCGCCAAAAGTTGTATCAAGACCTTATAAAAGAGAAGATCATGGTAGTTTTGCGAAATATCATAAAGGAGCCGAAGTACCTATTGAGCTCTACTCTTTACCCAAACCAATTACTCGTACAAATCCACATATTCCTTTTAAGGTAACCACATCCTTGTTAAAATATAAGAATTCTATGTGAAGGAATTCTAATTTAAATATCGTACAGTACTAATTATTGGTTTGAAATATCTATTTTAATTTTTACAGAAAACATCTGTTTATTTATTTTACCTAACACCATGTTATGTAGGAGGTACCAGATATACTGCGGCTTAAAAAACCCATTGTGCCTCTTTCTGTTGGTAAGGAATAAAGGGAATGGTTTTGACGTCTACAACGACCCTTCTAACCCTATCGTTCCAAGAAACTTTAGGATTTGGAGTATGGATTACCTATTTTTATTTGGTGTGCTCCCAAGTATAGTTATTTTGGATTCTATATTGCAACACATTTATTCAGAATGTAAATGGAGGTTTGGTTCTTCTTCTCACACAATCTGTATGCACTATATTCTACTTATCCATTTACTAAGGTATCCTTTGAGTAGATCCCAGTTACTATGCTTAGCCTGTTATTGCTCAAACAGATAAAAACTTTCGATCTTTTTGGTATTAGTTATCCAGAAGCATTTTAGACCCAAGAGATCGTTCTTCAACTGCTCAATTCTTTTTTGTTTCTAATAATATTCTGTTACTGTTGATACCGCAAAATGGCTCAGATCCCACAAAGAGTCTTTGAGCCTCTATTTGTTTTCACACTATCTGCAATATCAATAACCATTACCCCACTTTCTTCTCAGGTACATTTCAGAGAATTACAGGGTTATGCCTATAGACTTGACTTCTTTTATATCCCGACAAACAAAAAACATTCGTTTTCAGGATTTTAATTTAATTTACAGGAATTAGGGGAACTTCCACAGATAAAGAAAGAAGAAGCAATCAAAACCCGACCAAGACTTTATATGGTACCAGCTATACCAATAGATGACATTAAAGAACCGGACCAGCGTAAACTGTTGTGTCGGTATATGTATACAACTCAAGGAAGAAAAGCAGAGAAAGATGCAACAGTTTACTTTAAACCAGTAAAACCACGCATAGATCAAATAGAAACAAGGGACAAAGTGACATTGCGGATTGATTTTACGCCTCCACTGAATGAAAAGTTTCGTGAAGTGTGTAGAGAGTGGGATCATGATCAGCTAAGAGGAAATCCCAATCCAACTAAAGAATTTTGGATTCGTAAAGATCCGCCGGTAGTTTGCGGCGCTTGCGTGGATCCATATAAGAATTTAGTTCCAGAAAAAGTAAAAAAAGAAATAACAGGACTGGTCAAAGAAGAAAGACTAGTTTCAGCACATGATACAAAGCCTGGATGCACGTACACAGGATTTAGACCAAGATTACCCATGGGAATTGCCTTAGAGAAGAAACATTTATCTACCTTGCATCCTTTAGTGTCAGTTACGCAAATACCTGGAAATCGAACTCCTAAAGAAGTGGCAGAATTAACCAAAATATATAATTCTGAACACCAACTCAAATGCAGTAGTTAAATGTAATAACTTAAAGAAGTAATAAATATTTTAATATTTAAATTTTGTATGCTTGTTATTAGAATGTATACGCATGAAGTTCTTCTGTTAAATACTTAGTTAACGGACATACTTTTTAGAGTTTAATTGACAACCTACTTCATATGCTGCAGTTGTAGTTGTCTGCCTAAGGGTAGTTCGACTGGTTGCAGCAGTAATTTTTGGTGGAGCCCTCCTAGTCGAAAATGAGATGGATGGAGGTGTGGTGGTATCTGTTAAAGATGATTGGTTTTCAGGTTTCTTAGTAGTAGTAGAAGCTTTCTGTGCAGCTTTTTTACACAAAACATTCTGACTATAATCACAGGAATCGGCCGCTTTGTTAAAATATAAACCTGAAAAAAAAAAAAAAAACAGTTTTACAATGCCATGCTTTAAAAAGAATCGAATGGTATGTTGTATTAAAAATGTTTTTATTTACCTGCTGGACATGTAAACTGATGGGCAATTAATCCTGAATCCCCAGCGCCGCTAAGACACCAAAAGTATTTTTTGCAATCTTTTGGATGAGGATAAAATCCTTCGTCTTCACATTTAAATCCTGAAAATAAGTTAATTTCAAATAAATATTTCAAAATTCAATTGAAATATTTTTTATAATATTGCAGTTATTTCCGTAATGAAAGCTTACCTCCATCTGCTTCTGCTTTAGATGGTGGTGCAGGCGTAGTGTAACTTGGAGTAACAACTTTAAGGCTGCTGTAACTTGAAGTCTCTTCTGCATTTTTGCGTCTCGTTTTTCGTTTGCTGGGTACTTCTTCAGCATCTTCAGTATTCTCTTTATTCTGCCTTACTCTAAAACAAAAATTATGGGAATTATTATCATAAATATTGATAAATAAATATTCCTACCTGTTTCTTCTTCTCGAACTTATAGGTTTTTCTGATTTTTCACTGTCGGATTCTTCAATTTTATTTAAAGTCTTAGTCTTTGTTCTTGTTCTTGTCCTACTTTTTAATGGCTTAGAGGGCTTTTCGATGAGATTGTCATCTGTAAGTCTAAAAATAAAATATAAACAAACCATAAGACCTGTATTGTAGCTATTGTAAAAATAACTAGCAGGAAAGTAACGATATAACTTTTTAAGATCAAAAGCAGGATAGTTAAAAAGTTGGAAACAACAAGGAATAAATGGAATAATGGAAGATGAAGCTAATGCTGATTATACTAGAAGATACTACTTCTAGGGTAAAGTGAAATATTGAAATGAGACCGGAACCAAATGGAAGTTGATGCTAATATTGAAAGAAACTACTGCTTGGGTAAAGTAAAATATTGAAACAATTATATCATTAATTGTTAGTGACAATCAGACATTCTAAACCACGTGACCTTTTGATAGTTAAAATGGCTTCCTGATGACACACACACTTCGTGTTTAATTTTGTATTCGTGAAATACGAGTTACTTTGAAAATATATATATTTTTGTAACCCTGACGAAAAATAATTAGCATAAGCAAGAAAGGCACATTTTTTAATATTTTTTCCGCATCTGTATCTATATGGTGGACCGGATTTAATTTGCGTATACAGAGATCTCGTAAACCGTAAGATATACATTGTCGGTTAAATGGGGAAAAAGTTTCGTATTTTGACGGATAATACAATGGTCCATAGAAGTTCCAGATTTTATGACTGGTTCCGGAGATATTCGATAAAATCCGAAAAACCTCATTTTTGTTTTTTAAGTCGCGCGTTGTTATTATAAAAGATATAAAAAAAATTATACGAATTTTTTGTTATAAATCAAGTTCCCTTTAATATGCCATGTCAAAATTTTTATTACGACGTTTCGTATTTGCAAGCCACCTTCAACTTATTTTTTTAAATACGGACCTGGATTTTTAACTGTAATTTTTTATAGCTTTTGTATAGCTAAATACAACGATATGTTACACTTTACCTTTTTACTACGTTTCGTCTATGAAAATATCAGCCGCTATGTAGCTTCTGATGATACCGTTTCTTACTTGATTAAAACAAGATAGCTAATTAAATAATTAAAAAACAAAAAATGCTTAAAATGTAAAATTTTAAATATTATTTGAAACATAATACAAGAATTATTTTATTACAAAATGCTTTACAATTTTTTATCAAACATAATTAAGTACAACCAGCAAACAAGACTAATGAAGAACGAATTATGGTTGTACACATTCTACAAATAATAAAGCTAATAACAAAAACAAAATTCAAAAACAAAAACAGTCACAATAGTTGCTCAAAATGTAGTCCATTCTGTTGGATATAGAGTGCAATTCTCCTAGACATTTGGGATGTAGTTTTATCAACCATTTCTGGTGTAATATTTTCAAATGCATCTACTATTCGTTAACAAAGGTTTTGTAGATTATTTGGCATATTTTTGTCGTAGATTTGGTTCTTTACGAAGCCCCATACAAAATAATCCATGGGGTTAAGACACGAAGATCATGGAGGCCATCTTATTGGCCCATTGGTACCAATCCAATTACCTCTAAAATATTGATCGAGATACTCTGCAACCCTCCTAGCATTGTGTGCACCACAACCGTCTTGCATAAAGTATTGAAGATTTTGTCTTGTTTGTAAGGGTATCTCATCGAGTACTTCCTCCACTAAATGTAGGTATCGGAACTGATTTAAATTACCATCCAAAAAAATCAGCCCAATAAACTGATTATTGATTAGTCCACACCACACATTTTGGGTAAAACGGAACTGTGGTCTAACTTCTCTGATTAAATGGGGATTAGAAGTAGCAGACAAATGCTTGTTCCTGGGATTAAATATTCCACTATTAGTAAAGGAGCATTCATCCGTCCATAATATTTTTTTGTTGAAAGAACGGTCATTGCGCAGTTTTCTACTATACCAACGACAAAACATCAGTCTTCTATCAGAGTCTCCAGCGTGTAATTTCTGGACTTTTTGAAATTTATACCCGTGGTATTTATGTTTCTTTAAAATTCTTTTAACCGTGGAGGTTCCTACTACACATTCTTTAGCTATTCGCCTAGTAGACTTTTCAGGGTTAATATGTATTTGGGCAAGAACATTATCAGTATGTCGAACCTGATATCTAGGTCTCCTTTTTTTCACACTGCTATGCTCTGCCATATTTTTTGAAATATCAGAAAACATCCTCGTAGATGGCTGTTGTCTATCAGGATATAAATCTAAATAAGTCTGAGCTGACCGGGTTTCATTCCTATAGCATCTTATGTACACATCATACATATTTTTCTTCTCTTCTTCAGTATAACGAACCATAATATTTATTTAATTTTAAATTATTTAATGCTAAAAAAGTACTGTAATATTAGATGTTACAGATTATAACAGAAATATTGGTGACAAGTTACAACCAAAGATATCGGATAATAGATACGCCTTGTATACATTACACTTGTCCGCAACTTTTTTTTGACGGTACGCTCTTCCTATGTTGTCAGATCTCTTTCATCAAATATCAAACATTAAATTTTTATTTAAAAAGTTACTATTACCTTTAATACAATCTAATAAAAAAAGGAAATAAAGAATTGAAAGCATCAATATTAGTTTTTTATTAATTGCACTTAAGACTTTTAAGTAGCTATTTTTACATGTGTATCATATGGGAATATTAAACATTTTGGTATAAATCATTTAACTTTGGCAACCTAAGACATTTTGCAGATCAAGTTTTATTGTGATTTTTGTGGTTTTTTGTAGTTTTCAAGAATAATTTAAACCCTGAACTTTTTATTAAGGACTTTTACGATAGGGAGGAAATGTATAGTGTGCCGAAATACGCAGAATAAGAATGTTATTCGGTCATTTCATAAATAAGATTATGTTAGCATAGACGTAGGCATATACAGGGAATAAGGCTTAATTTATTTAACAGTGTAAAGGCATTTAGCACTAGCATTGTTTATTTAAATAATAATGTTCTATATTTTCTGATCAGGTTTCCTAGAGAAATTATTCAACGTAGAATTTGGCTGCAAAATCTATGCTTGGTGGAGGAAAACATTATCAAAATGAAAGAAGCTTTAGTATATGTTCTGACCATTTTTGTATGGCAGATATTTATGAAAATTTAAGAGGTAGACACATCTTAAAACATAATGCTATACCTATCAAGTAAGTACAGTATTTATTATGGGTATTTTTATTATATGTAAGCTCTAAAATTATACAGTAATCATCACATTTTACAGAATTTTGGGAGAGGTAGCTGAAGAGGTGAAAAATGAAGAAGAAAAAAATACTTTTTTTTTAGTGCAGTTCGTAACAGATGCTTCAATAACAATCTCACATGGAGATTGTTTCAAAATTGTTATTAAAAATTATTAATTCATAATGAAGTAAAGTCATCTTGGATTGTAGCAACACTACTAGCCAAATTGCGTTAAATTTAAAATGTTACGCATCAGACACTAAAGAAAATTTGGAATTTACAAATGAGCTTCGTGACCATGATTACCTATCTATATATTTTCTAAGCGAATACATTCAGGATGTAGTTGCTTATATTTCTGGTTTTATAGTAAAATCCTTAAAGAAAAAGATTCACTGCAAACAGTGTTCTGCAATTGAACCAGTGAGTTCGAAAACTTGACATTTAAAAATAAGCCATTTCGTTTAAAATTTGTCTCTTCATCGATTGAGCTTAAAAACCGTACTAGATACCTAGCTGTTAATGTAGTACAGCTGATTATACCCGTGAAATTAGGTGAAAAATCGTACATATCTGCGACTCGTACGGTTCTTCATCTCAATAACAAAATAATGGTCAGTTGCTATGGTCAGTTGGAAAAACACAAATACTTAAAATGATGATTACATAACTGAGATAACAGTTTTAATATTGTATTTTTCCTCCTTTTTGAATAAATATAAAATAAATCTTTTCTCTTCGACAGACTTTCTGTCTCAACTGTCAAAGGTCTTAATACATAATAGCTATTTTGTCTTTTATTCCAAAATATGCTTTACAAAATATCAGTTATCTTATAACACTAAATAAATCTATTGAGCAGATTCTTCACCAAGAGTGTTTGTAGGAGTAACCATTGATAGTAAAATGACATTCGAAATGTCACAAAAGAAGCTTCCTTTAGTGTTTTTCTATTCGGACAAATTAGAAATAAAGTATCTCTTGATAATCTTAAGCTAATGTGTTTTAGCCTTGTCCAGATATTATAAAATCATTGCTGAATACTGTCCTAAATGAGTTATTATATCATTACACAAATAATTCTAAAAATAGATGTCGTGACATGCAACCCAAATGGTATGTAATAGAAAGATCATATTTGTATATTTATGTATCTGAAATAAAATTGTTCTGTTTTTAATAGCTTTTTATTTCATAAAAAAGGTAGTCCGGCAATATAATTATTCTTTTTTCGACCTGTAGAAAAGGTTTTCAAACAGTACCCATGTAAAAATAATAATAAATGGCTTTATATTTTTACTTGCTATTTGCTCTTCATGTATTTAAAAAAATATATATAATAAAATACCAACAAAAATGTTCTTCAACTTTGAGCTACCTACCTATGTTAATCTATAAGAAAATATATAAAATGACTTTTTGAATGCCCTGTATAAATTGAATATGTTTTCTTTAAATTTACCTTTGATTCCGAAGACCCATAGGTTATTATTTGGTCATTAAATAATTTTTACTAAAAATATATGTAAACCCTCCCGAAACACTACGTCAATGTGCGACGTACGATTCCCCTTTCCCCGTCTGGTAAAACATGCGGACAGAAGGTGTATTGGGTATACAATGTGTAGGGCGAGTCTATCTTAGATAATATGATGTCTATGGTTACAACTGACATGCATGGCAAACATGATTTTGTTAAGATCTTATATATGCAAAAATGAAAACATTAAAGATAGAAAAAATACTGTATGAGAAACCTAAGGAGAGATTTTACAGAAAATCAGGTGATCGGAATTTATAGATTGCTTGGTCGTTTTGTTTTTCATTTTATGTTTTTGTTATTAGCTTTATTATTTGTAGAATGTGTACAACCATAATTCGTTCTTCATTAGTCTTGTTTGCTGGTTGTACTTAATTATGTTTGATAAAAAGTTGTAACCCATTTTGTAATTAAATAATTCTTGTATTATGTTTCAAATAATATTTAAAATTTCACATTTTAAGCATTTTTTGTTTTTTAATTATTATTTAATTAGCTATCTTGTTTTAATCAAGTAAGAAACGGTATCATCAGAAACTACATAGCTGATGATATTTTCATAGACAAAACGTAGTAAAATGGTAAAGTGTAACATATCGTTGTATTTACCTATACAAAAGCTATAAAAAATTACAGTTAAAAATCCAGGTCCGTATTTAAAAAAATAAGTTGAAGGTGGCCCTGGAAATACGAAACGTCGTAATAAAAATTTTGACATGGCAGATTATAGGGAACCTGATTTATAACAAAAAATTCGTATAATTTTTTTTGTATCTTTTATAATAACGCACGACTTAAAAATCTAAAATGAGGTTTTTCGGATTTTATCGAATATCTCCGGAACCAGTCAGAAAATCTGGAACTTCTATGGACCATTGTATTATCCTTCAAAATACGAAACTTTTTCCCCATTTAACAATGTATATCTTACGGTTTACGAGATCTCTGTATACGCAAATTAAATCCGGTCCACCCTGTATAACATAACAATAGTTCTTACCCATAAGCTTCTATTAGGGCGGCTCTGCCAGCTTCAATCAATGGATACGGTTTTCCGTGACAGTTTCCTCTGAAGTCATCGTTATCGATTGACCAAAACATAATACCTCCCAATCCATTTTCAACTACATAATGAGCTTTCTTTCTAACGATGTCTTCGTCGTCATATCCTACCCACTGGTTATCTTTAAAAGCGTAAGGCCCCATTACTTCCGGGTTAGGTTGTTCTACTTCCCAATCTTGATTTTTGACGTAATCGCAAATCTATATAATTAAAAAAAAAACCATATGAGCAATAAATCATCGAAGAAGAATAGGAATTTTTATACAATCTCCAAACTTTCGCATAAGCATATCGAGGAAATATACTCGTACATCGTAATATTTGACCCTTAGACTCCGAGTTTGGCAATCATCCTTCGGGCTCCGGCCTTACATTAAAATTATTCGGATCATTAGCTTTTAATGTAAATATCATACAGATAGCGATCCTTTATGTGCAACTCATGGTGGGAGGACACAGACAATGACACACAAAATCAATCCCACATAAAACTAATTCCAAATTAAATTAATTTTATCTGGGATAACAATAGCGGTGAGCAAAATGGTGTGGTATTTCCTGATTATTAAACTCTTCCCTTTTTTTATGACAAAATAATTTTTTCTACGATCACTATCCAAAGTAGGATTCTACGCTTCGAAATCCAACCGCAAACTTGACGTTTTCAGTGAACTGATATTAAGTGACAACTTTGTCGCTCGCCGAGCTAAAAAGTTGACAGCTTTGTTGCTCGCCTAATTTAAATTAGCTAATATATAATAATATTTGTATTTAATAAATGATATTTGTTATTTGTACGTAGTTACATGGTTTTTTGTTATATTATCCAAGTTAACATGGACTTTTTTCATGATTAACGTAAGTATAGGCAACACATTATACACTACTTACGACACATTTTCAGTTTTTATATCTGTCGCAGGCTTATAGTAAAATTAGTCTTATTATAATACGCCTAGGCTTTTTCAATACGACTAGGCATATTATAATACTATCCAAATAATTAAGAATCTCACAATTTGACTGACAATTTCAGGCGTATTATAACATGCCTGTCGATTGTTAGTCTTATTGTTAAATTGAGTAGATGCGCAAGTGTTTTAGAATACGACTAGATGAAATCCGTCGTATCATAATACGACTGACGATGTGCCAGGCGAATCGTGTTTATAATACGAATGACGCATGACTGTGTGCCATGCGAACTATACTCAACCATTGATTTTAAACACTCTAAACTATTTAAAATTAAAATAGAAATAGTAGATTAGGATTCCACTCGACCATTCACTGTTGGGTTCTAATTAACAGTGCTGCTCCTAAAGTGGCGCTGGGAAACAGTAACAAAGCCTACACAAAATACGAGGCTAATAACCTTAATAGTTAATGCCGATGACACAAAAAAAAATAGATTAAAATTATTTATTACAGCATGGTCCACTTTTATGACATTTACTAGTACATTTCATACGAGCTTTAAAACATGAACATTTATTGCTATAACACTGTGTTTTGCTTGGCTTGCAATATTTTGCACAAATATTAGGTAGGTACAACAAAATTAAAACATCTAATCAACTCAACAACGATGATGATTGCAATTCGCCTGGCACATCGTCAGTCGTCAGACGGATTAAATCTAGTCGAATTCTAAAACACATGTGCGTCTGTTCAATTTAACAATAAGACTAACAAGCGGCAGGCTTATTATAATACGCCTGAAATTATTAGTCAAATTGTGAGATTCTTAATTATTTGAGTAGTATTATGATATGCCTAGTCGTATTGAAAAAGCCTAGGCTTATTATAATAAGACTGATTTTATAATAAGCCTGCGACATATCGATTTCTTAAAAAAGTGGGATCGTAGAAAAAATCTTGTGTGCATTTTGAGCGAAAAGTTCGTTGCCGCTTTCAAGAAAGTATCACTTTTCGCTCTTAATACACAAATAGCTATTTCTCAGGGTCATTATTGTTACAATGTTGACAATCCTGGATCTACGATATATTTGCGTCTTAATTAGTGGTATTTATTTTACCTCATAATATGCTAAGTATCCATTTTCCCTAGTTGCTTCTCCCATTGATCCAGGTCCGTCAGCAGGTGATCCCAATTCAAAAGCATCGGGGTTATAGAGTGTGTATGATCTGCCGTATGTAGGTATTCCAAGCACTAGTTTACTTGGATCGGCTCCATTTTTCAAGTAGTGTTTAATTGCATAATCCTAAAGAAAAAAAAAAAATCTAATGAAAAATACAAATTTATTTTCGTTTATCTAAACACAATTTGAATTGAATGTGAAAGAGTAATCTATGAAAAAGGAAAATAAATTCTATATAAGCTGCTGCTTATCGCCTGTATGGGTTCATAGTCCGTAGCAGTAGAGACTTTTAAAACAGCTCATACCTGAAAATCATATACTACAGTTTTTCCAGAAGTAAACTTGGCATTTTTCCTGCAATCGACACACCATACGAAATTCTTCTCCGAGAACATATATTTACTAATTAATATTTTATCCTATTAATTTTTAAAATAATTAATAGATTTTATTAAAACTGTGTGGGCCATGTAGTCTCCTCAGCTCGACCTACTGTTGATATAATTTGTTGATTGAGTACTTCCTCTAGTTTGGTCTTCTCTAGTAGATTCCATAGACTAAATTTTATGGATATTGCAGTTGTTCCTGTTTCTTATATATTCCTCACAAGGTATCTTCTGATAGGGCGATGCTATGCATGTTAACCCTACAATGCCCTGTTAATATGCATATTAGTACTCTAGTATTTTTCCTATTCTATGTTTGGTGAGCTTTGGCCATAGTCCTTGTATGAACTCTCTTGCCTCTTTCTTTCTATCTCTGTCCTAGTGAATTGTTCCAACATCCACTGCTTCCTGCATGTTCTGATGACTGTCTTTTTAACACTACAGAATAATTCTAGTAAATCAGCCTCTTCATTGCTTTTATATCCTCTGTGACCTGGTAACCAGGCTAAGGTTAGTCTGGTTTGGTGACTCGTTAAATGCGCCCCAGCAAAACTGCCCCGACAAAAGCGTCCCGACAAATGCGCTTCCCGACTTAATCGCCCACGACAAATGCGGCTCCCGATATATGCGTCCAACAAAATTAATTTAAGTTCAAGCTGGCCATTTCATTGTATTTAAAATGGTTAAAACAAAGGTTTATAATTTTTTATTGAACTTATATGTTTTACTTTATGTAGTAGAATTATGAAAGTTTATACCACAATAAATAATTTTAATCGATAACTAGTTACGGCCAGTTGTTACATCCGGTTTCAGACAATTACCCGACACCAGATTGGCCGACACCCAATTGACCGACAGGACAATTTACTGACAAGACAATCTACCGACAAGACAATTTATCGACAAGACAATTTACCGACAGGTCAATTTACTGAAAGGCCAACTGACCAACACCCAATTGACCGAGAAGCAAAATGTTTCTTAGGATAATATAACGTTTATTATTTACTCACAGGTTTAATTTTATAAGTTTTTAGGCTTTTTTAATATGCAGAGCATCTACTGTATTTTTTGCACGTATACGTTTTACAACAATATTTTCTATATTTGTACTCTTGATTTCTGGACATGACAGTAGTCAAGGATCGTACTTATAAGGGTTTCATTGGGAAAGGGACGCAAGTTAACTGTAGATGGAAGCCACTGAGGTACTTTCAAATAACCCATTACTTATTGGGTCTTCCGCTCTTTATAACCGAGATATAGGGTGTTTTATCAATTTTGCCGATATCGATACCTTTTTGCCAGACTTAAGGTACATTTACATCTGACATTTATTGCATGAGATTTATGTCTGACAGTTGTTTAGTCCAATGTAAACACACAAACGTTTCTCTCGGACATATATTTTTGAGTGTTTACACTGGACTAAACAACTGTCAGACATAAATATCATGCAATAAATGTCAGATGTAAACGTACCTTAACGTAAGCGACATTTGTTCAAATGGCACTTACGATAGTTTGGCAAAAAGGTTTCGAGATATTTCTTGACTCATAAGTTACGAACCACTTTGTGTAGACTTTTTAAAATTGTGTACACGTATTCTCCATAACTTACGGAATTTACTAAGGTATAAACAGAAGACGAAATCCAGGTCCGTCTTTACCAAAAATGAGTAAATTTATCAATCCCTAAAACAACATCCTGTATCTCCGAATTTGAATTTTTATTTTTCATATTGAAAAGAACACACAATCCTGAATCCAATGATGTACTTTATATTTTTGCACAGTTGATTTTACTATTAAAATTTAAAGTCCAAATTGTTATTTTTTTAAATTTTGTGTGTACAGAATGAAAACGGACAGGATTTTGTTAATTTTATTGCGTCATAATAAAAATTATTTAACTAAGGTCATTCTTAAAAACTACATATTTTATGTTGTTCTACTTCTATATATCTACACCACTATAAAAAGTGCGCCTGATCAAAGGCATTCTGACTAGTCATTGCCAAGTACAAAAGCATCTCCATATCATGGGGCTGTCAGAATCCGCACTCTGCAGGGGGTGTGAAAAAGAAAATAATACATTGAGAGCATATCCTTTACGATTGCCCGACGCTCTCATTTATTAGATTTGTGTTCGGCGAGAATTGGTTAACACCGGCCAATATAAGAGTACTTCATTGGGACGTTGTCAACTACATTATATCTGTAGACTGGCTCACGAGCTAGTGAGATATAAGGGCCGTGGATTAACCCACCCTTCAGACGTTACAGATACACTATAAAATGTAATATTTAAGGGCCGTATTTAGGCAGGGCAGTTATTAGCCCCTCTGTTGTCTTTGTGCAGGAATATATTTTAAAATCGCTAATTTTTTTAAAGAAAATATTTTATTAAATATTCACTAATATAATATTTTACAAGTAACATCCTTAAAATAAAATATAAACATTAATACTCACAATAAAAAATAATGAAGTAAATAAAAACGTAATACTTCAGATGCAACTGTTACTGGTAAAGTTAAAAATATTCTCACACTTACAACTAAATAAGGCAATGATGGCAATAAATGATTTACTTTGTTAGATAATATTTTACAACAAAAACAGAATACGCTATTTGTTTTACATGAATAAACTCTTTTACTTGTTTAAATAAAGACGTTTTATTATTCCCTAAATGTTTGTGAATTAACCTGCCACAAAATTTGCCTGTCGGTGGGTGTCGGTTAATTGGGTGTCGTCGGTCAATTGGGTGTCGTTATATTGTCCTGTCGATCAATTGGCCTGTCGGTATATTGGCTGTCGGTCAATTGGCTTGTCGGTCAATTGGATGTCGGTCAATCGACCCAGACCAATTTGTGAGAATTGTCGTTAAATTTAGAATTATAATATATTATCACAATAATTTATCAATTATTTTATTGACCATTTCCAATTATTTTTAATCAATAAATCATTTAATAAAATATGTTCTGTTCTTTATTTTGTATACACCCCAAACGATAAAAATACACAAAAATAAACTATCTTTATTTTAAAAAAAAAACAAAAAAGGTATTAATACAATTATATAGAATTACGTTGAAGGGTAAAATACAGATAAAAATAATATAAATAAAATGCAGCATAGGTAAATTTAATATAAATAATTTCAGAAAAAAACTCAATCAACATTACCCTAAGAAATAATGTAATCCATTTCCAAACCCCCAAGCGGGAAAATAAATAACTGAAAAATTAAAAAGTCTGCTAGTAATTAATGAAAAAAATTGAAAAATAAAATAAAAAATTGTTGAGGCGCATATTTTGGGAAGCGCATTTGTCAGGAAGCTCATTTGTCGGGAAGCATTTGACGGCGCGCTTTAGTCGAGGTGCATTTGACCGGGGCGCATTGGTCGGGTAACAAGCTTTGAGTGTACCTGCATGAAACGCAGTGCTGTCAACATCACTTGGCTGTCTGAGTATGACAATGGTTTCTACAATTACCTTACCTCTTTTGCACACTGATGTGTTGCCGGAATGGTGTCGCATGTTTACCTAAGCTCAGTGAGATTTTCTATATCGTTTTATCCATGTTTTGAGAAATATACTAACACACAATATATGCGTTACTTGCAATCATGTAATAGATCGATTAGATATTTATCTTTTCTTGTAGCAAGTGGAAGATATAAAACACAAATTATTTATTTTTTTGCAGATATTAAATTAAAATTGTATATTTTCCATCACCATTTACTATATTGTTATAGGAGATTTATCATGTATAACCGTACAAATTGAACACATAAATAAAAGTTTCTATATCAATATTTTTTGTTGGACTCACTATGTTTAAATCTGACTCAAAGTTGTATTCACTTTCTTCTTCCATGGAGTATAATGGCGCGTGATGATTGACAGCTGGCTCAAAAGCAGAATGGAAGTCGTAACTTAAAATGTTCATCCAGTCTAAATATCTGAAATAAATTATAAATTAATATTCAATAACTAACAAATCAAAATTTAATTTGGAAAATCAAAATATACATATGTATAACTCAATACTCAACTCTGTTATTATTCTAAAAGTTATAGGGGTACAAAAAGAATCAAATTTTTTTCGTCTAATATACTTTGGATATACGAATCCATTAGAAAGGAACTTGTTTCAAAACATTTAAATATAGTAGTAGGTGGCACCATAAACAAATTGGAGTTAAGGTTACTCAGGAAAATTAAAAGCCTAGATATTGTTTTACTGGTAGGTATTCGATTCTTGACCATTTTCCTCCCAGGTGCAGCACATATATTTTGAATCTAAATATTTTCTAATGTTTACAATTTAAAAACAGATATTGTAAATTTTTCACAAATGTCGATTACCTATTTCGATAATCTCTAATCAATATCAATTATCTTCAATCTATCAATATTTTCTGAATTATTTAATTCTGAAATCGCGAATTCTTTAAAAGTTTCTTGCTTAACCAATTTAAATTTGAATGCAGATGTATCGACATAGCGATTACGAAAACTTTCTTAAAATTGGCCGAACATTATATTTTCATCATCTTTATTAACACTAAACACATACATTTCCTAGTACCGTGCACGTTTTAAGACATTTGTTAATCAAAATGGGTTGTGAGTAAAAGCTTAGCTACAATATCTAATATTAAACGCGAATATTAGACTTAAAGAATAAATTAAATTGGTGACAAAAACTAATAAAGCACAATTAGTGCGAAAAAGGTAAAATAGCGAAAAATTGAATAACTAAAATGTGTTAAATATCATTTTGCTTAAAAATGCCGGAAAATGTGGTCAAGAATTAAAAAACCCTGTTTTACCGCTAAAGTAGAATAATAAAATTATTAAAATACGGACAATAATAGAAAACCGTTGAATTAGTGTTAAAACGCTAAATAACTGAAAAATAAATTAAATTCGTTTAAATTATTCAAAACCTAATTAAAACACAAATGGTCCAAACAAGGAAAAAGGGTGAAAAATCGAGAAAAAACCACTAAAATATGTTAAATATCATTCTTGCTTAAAAAATACTAGATGATTTTATAAAAAAAGTTATTTCAAATAAATATTAAAAATAAAGAATTTCTTACTCTGTAAGTTTTGGCACATCGAATCCTTTATTAATATATTCTATACCGGCTGGTACAGCCATTGTCAGTAATAATCTTGGCCTTCCAGTTTTTTCCGCCTCTCTTTCAAATTCTTCTCGAAGTTCCTACAAAAAAATCAATTCTGAATAAAACTAATAGACAATGTTAAAAGTTTTGAAATAAACAAATTGCCAACTAAATTTGTGTAGGATACGATACGACGTATCCCCAGCAGGATATCGACTTATCTGCTCAGCAGGTTCATGTACGGTTTAAGGAATAATTGATTTCAATATTTATTCTTTAGTTTTTATAACCGCCCACATTATAACTATTTGTACATATTACTGTTAAGGCCGATCGTTTCACCACTTGTAACGTTATAAATAACGTTTCACTTTTATTTCCGGAATATTAACGACATTTAATAATTATACTCTCCTGGGAAAAATATTCAGGTATGTCACTGGTACAGCGTTGGAGCCGTGTGTATTTCAAGGCCCTTTTTAGGAGGATAAATTCAATAATTTGAGTCTTGCGCGGTCTTACGATGAAATTTAGCATTTAAGTGGGCTTTCTTTTCTCATTCAACCACAGCTGAGATTGATTCGTTTTGTGTATATTTGGTTCGCTGACAAAAGAGGTAAAGCCGTATAAAAGAGGGCAATAAAAAGAAAAACAAAGAGGATACCACGAGAAAATAAAGAGGTACCGAGCTCAAGCCGTGTTAATGAGGGTGAAATGGTGAAGGTGTCCAAGCAATATAATAGCCGTGGAGCTGTAGAACACCACCATTATTAAAAGTGTCTGAGAACAGGAACAACAAAAAAAACTGCAACTGAAATATTCCCAAATAACACTGACGTATTGGAACAGATACATAAAATAATCAAAAAAATCTGATGTGTCCAACACATGACTTTCATATTTAGTTATTATAGGCTTTTTCCGGTTATTTTGTATAACCTAATGCAGCACCTCTATAAATGTTTAGAGGATAAACTAAATATATACATTTTCCACATACATTTTTCTATAATATATATTCCATAAAATATAAAAACGGCCTCCCATAAAGTACCCCCCCAGATGTTCTGACTCTGCCCAAAAAAGTTTAAAATTTAATGTTTTTTCCTCTATCCGTTTTTGAGTTTTCTTCAAAATTCGAAATTTACACATTTTCTCAAATATCTCGAATACGGTTCATTTTAGACAAATTATGTATAAAATAAAAATTATAGAGAATTATATTGCAAACAATTTTTATTTAAACAATTTTTATAAAAAAATAATTTTTTTACATTTTGTCAAATTTCTCGAATACGGACCATTTTAGGCAAATTTTGTAAAGAACAAAAATTATAGACAATAATATTGTTAAAATTTTCTTCTCCAAACGTAAATAACGGATATATTCCATAAAATATAAAAATGACCACCCATAAAGTATCTCCCAAATATTCCGAATTTTGCCCGAACACACACACACACACACACACGCACGCGCACGCACATGCACACGCACACGCACACGCACACGCACACGCGCACGCGCACGCGCACGCGCACGCGCACGCGCACGCGCACGCACACGCACACGCACACGCACACGCACACGCACACACACACACACACACACACACATAGGAAAGTAACTAGTTAAAAAGTAATAAATGCAGAATATATGTGTGAATAATGGCTCCATGATAAAACAGCACAGAAAGGCACAGGACAAAAGGCGCAGGACAAAGGAGCACATACAAGATATGTTCCAACGACGCCTACGTATAGAATGTTTGAAGTGAAGCTCCGTCTCTCTCACATTTTAGGAACCGAGCTATTTTAGCGCGAAACAATTTCGCGCGGGACAAATTTGCCGCAATAAATTTGCGCCGAGACAAATACATGAGAGACAAGTTAGCGCCCGATATAAATAAAGAGCGAAACAAATTAACGCATGACAAAATATGCTAGTTTTCTAATAAAAAAAAACAAACTAATATACCTAACCTGTGCGGCCTGGAGCCATAGCGGGTTGTTGTATATGGCTCTAAACTGCACAGGTAAGGTAAATGAGTTACAATTTTTTTAATTTTTATAATTTTATGTGATGTTTTTTTTTCAAAGCAACCTGCGATGGCTTCAGGCCGCCCAGGTTAGGTAAATTAGTTAGTTTTTTATGTTAATTAGAATACTGGATTATTTTGACTTGCGCTTCTATGTTCTGCGCTATTTTGTCCAGCGCTATTTTGTACGAGAAATAATAAAATAAATAGAGATTCAAGATCAAAATGATTTTAAAAAGTTATGAATGGGGACTGACCTGTCTCGTAGAAATGGGCCTGGAAAGCTTTACGAAACATATATACTTATGTATATACATTAAAACTTTTTTGTGTATAAATTTTGCACAAACGCCTTCATCTTTAGCTAATCTTTATTTAGCAACACTGGAAGAAAACAGCTTTTTTTTACATCATTATCCATCATTCGTTCATTGCCAATCTAAACATCATCTACCATCCTTCATCCATCTTCCATTATCCAATATCTATCATCCATCATTTAACATTAGTCATTCGCCACCCACCATTTAACATACGTCATAAGTTATTCGTTATCCGTCATCAATCATCTATCATTCAATCATCTACCATCCAATCATCCATCATCCAATTAACCATCATCAAATTACCCATCATCCGTCATCCATAATCTAATAATCCATCAAACAATTATCCATTTACCCATCATCCGTCATCCATCACAATCCATCATCAACATCCGTCATCCGACATCCATTATAATCCAAAATTAACATCTGTCATCCGACATTCATTATAATCCATCATCCAATCATCTACCACCAATCATTCATCATCCAATTATCTATCAACCAATCATCCATCATTTATTATCCATCAGCCGTCGTCCATCATTTAACATCTGTAATCCGTCAATATCTATCATCCATCATTGAACATCGCTTATCCATCATCCATTATTTATCATTCATCAGCAACCATTCATCATTCATTATCCAATCCAAGTATCCATCATCTATTATCCATCATTTAACATCTGTCATCCGTCAAAATCCATCATCCGTCATTGACAATCGCTCATCCATCATTTATCATTCATCATCAACCATTCATAATCCATCATTCATCATCCAATTATCCATCATCCAATTATTCGTCATTCATCATCTATTATCCATCATCCAATTATCTATTATCCAATTATCCATCATCCAATTATTCGTCATCCATCATTTATTATCCATCATCTATTATCCATCATTTAACATCTGTCATCCGTCAAAATCCATCATCCGTCATTGACAATCGCTCATCCATCATTTATCATTCATCATCAACCATTCATAATCCATCATTCATCATCCAATTATCCATCATCCAATTATTCGTCATTTATCATCTATTATCCATCATCCAATTATCTATTATCCAATTATCCATCATCCAATTATTCGTCATCCATCATTTATTATCCATCATCCATCATCTATTATCCATCATCCAATTATCCATCATAATCCATCATTCTTCCCCGATCGTCCATCATCCTTCCTTTATCATAAATCATCCTATAATCTATCATTCAATTATCCATATTTCATCAGCCATCTTCCATCGCCAATTCTCCATCACCATCATCCATAATCCACCGTCCTCCATTCACCATCCATCGCCCATCACATATATCAATTATCCGTCAATTAATCATTCAATCACATATCCAATCATCCATCATTCAATTATCCATCATGCAATCATCCATCATGCAATCATCCATAATGCAATCATCCATCATCCAATCATCCATTAAATTTATTTAAATTACAGGTAAATAAATTTTTTCCTTGATCTTTTCAATAAATATTATTTATTTTTATACAATAATTTAAACAGATAACAGAGATCCGTATTCATTTCTTGATTCATTATATTTATTGCGTATTCAACTAATGCACAACCTGCATGTAAGTGAAAGTTCAGGTGCTAAATAGCTAAATGTTCAATTCAATATTTATTACCTATTATTAAAAGTAAAATATGCTATTCTTATTCGATAGTAGATAAGGAATTTAAAAAGTCAAGGTTACCATTTACAAATAACTAAAAAAATTACCTGAGGAAATTGGAAGCATCATGCGTGCATTTCAATTTTCGATCATATCATTTAATTAAACGTTGCCTTGGGTTTGGCAGAAGGTAACCAATTTCTTTTAAAATTGCTTTTATTTGTTTCGCTCTTTTACAATTAAATGCTTATTTTTGATTGATTATTTAATTATCGATCCATTTAGGTTAATTTTTACATTTATTAGTTTTTTAATTTTTACACAGCATTTGCCCAATTACATAACAAGAATATACCGGATGGGCCAATTATATCCATTTGGAGCATAGTAGCTAAACTAGAAGATTTAGAAAAAAGTTCCAATTCCAATAACTGTATATTATACAGATCTAAAGAAGCAACATTTTCTAAAATAATTCGACTACACAGAGTGGTCCATAACCACAGAATAGGTATCAAGGTTATTTTTGTAAATGAAGGTTATTTTTGTAAATGAAACATCCTTTAATAGGCTTTACTACCAAATTTTGTTTTTTTTTTCTAATTCGATTAGATTAAATAATCGATTATTTTTTTAGATAATTTTCCAGCCCTACCCCCGACCCAGCGGTAAATTGCAGCAATGGCTGCGTTCATCCGCGCCACATGCTACCTGATCGATCTGGTAGCGCTCTCGAGTGGCACGTATGAACGGTGTATTTTGACATTTCGCTCAAGGAGCGGCCGCCATTAAAAGTAGCGCATTTTATTTACGTCTGATCGGTGATCACTGATCTGTCTTACGCACTTACGTCCACGGCTTGCTTTGTGACTAGTAGGGTTATATTAGCATATTAGCAATTGAAAAATAAACAAACAAATCTTCAACCAGAGACATTCAACTCAAAAGTAAAATGAATAAACCAAAATCAAATGTCACTTTTAAACATGGTTCATCCGTGCATAAAGATCGATCAGGTAGCGTAAGTGATCGCTACTTTTGTAGCGCTCCTTGAAATGGCGCGGATGAACGCAG